AGGTGGAGTTAGGCATATGTGGCTGGCGCTGCGTGAGCCTATGGCTAGACTTGCCGCTCCAATCCACCATGTGGGCATTTGCTATGAGTGGGAATCCCCAGTAACGTCTGCTGCGTCCTAATCTGGTATGTGTTGATCGAGAGCAGTTACCGTGTAGCCAGTTGTAGGTGCACGACGATAAGCACATTTTAAGCGAACTAGATAACTGACGGTGATTTATAGAACTGTGATGCCGGTTTTTAAATGATGAACTGCTGAAATCTTGTCGGTAAACCTTTGGCAGCCCTGGGACTCACTTCCATAGTAACCCTTTATGTACCTGTACTTTCTGCGGTCTGTCATTCTCTTCCTAAAGTAACGTTATGTAGCCTACTTTCTGATATTCTGCTTCGCAGTCCCCTCACTGTTGTTCAGCTGGCCTCTATTTATCCATGACATTTGACGGAAAATACACTGACAACTGTCCCTATAAACTTGACATCCTAGATTTGGTATAAAATGTCGTTCAGCGCCTCCTACGTCCCAAAAAATTGATTGCTAAAATTTTGTTCTCAACTTGTACCCGGACAGGTTATTCTCGCCTCCGAAGCGGACCTTCGCAGTGGTTTTTCCCGACTCCTTTTCACCGAGTGGGCTGACTCTGATCTAAATACTGTCATTGTGACATCGCGCAACGGTGATTTTCGTCAGGCCGAAGATCTTTCCGAGTTCTTTTCCCCTGTAGGACCAGGCCTCAGTTTGGGCCGTCGCCTCATTGGCCTAGCCAATAATGAACCCTGGGCTCGCGTCGGCGTGCCAACCGGTGCTAATGGTGCCTTGATGTTGCCTTTTACCTTCTCCCAAAGAGTCGTCGTGGAATGCCCACCTGAAGCTACGGCCCCTGAACCAGCCTCCTCGTTGAATGACTCCAGTCTCGGCATTTTAAGTGGTGGTACAAAGAAAACCTCAGTGACTAGTCCCGCAGCAACGTCTGTCAGCAACCCCAGAACACCAGCATTTAGTCGTTGTAAGTTGTTCAATAACTTCTCCTCTGATGAAAAATTTTCCCTACAATTTGTTTTCCTTTTTCACGGCTTCCCTGGTAGGCGAGCTCATTTTTTTCTAAAACCCTTCAGGTAATCTTTCTTTAGTGAAGCATGCTACTTGGTTTCTTTGCATTTCTACTAGCCCGACGGATTTCCTCTTTGGGAGGTGACGATCAAATCTACAAAGATTTGAACAGTCTGGATAATGTTGCAGACGATGACGACGCAGACAATGATGAAGACGAAGATATCGATCAAATTGACCGCCGTAGACATCTGAGTTCGACTTCGGCTCTCGGTTTGGAAAATGCAGGTCACGTGGCACCTTCAGCCACAGCCTACCAACCTTATGAGTTATTCTCGGCATCTAATCCTGCCCTCACCCACGGTCGGCACCAGGCGGGCTATGACATTTTCCCTGGCGCCTATAATCACTCCGGTGGTCAGTTCTTCCGGATGACGAAGCGAACCCAGCTGGTGTTTCCGACAGTCGAAAAAACGGTGAGTGGAGGTTTTTTAACCATGCTTTTTTAATGTTCGAATCCTCTACAATGTAATATTTCAAACCACTTTTCCCTACTTGTGTGAGCCTTCATTATAACCATAAGGGTCCTTTCGCGCCACGAATGTCTCGAAGCTTTTCGAATTCTTCACGTGAACAGAACTGCTGCTGTTGCTGACATTGTTTGAATTCCTTTATTTTCAGGTTTCTTGGGATGAGTATGGTGAACGTGTAGATCCAGCTGTTTACAAAATGTCTGCTGAGCCATTTGATATGTCGACTGCGGCGGATAAACGAGTGAAACAGCCTCCAAGAGGTATGTGAAGTAGCCTTACCTGTAGTTTGCTCATCTTTCGCGTAATGTACTCTCTCGCCTTCCGTTGTGGGTTTACCCTGCGAAATGTACCAAGTTAATTCGGATGTCCACTGCTTCAAATAACTTTTCTTTTCACCTTA